GGGGGGGGGGGGGGGGGAGGGGGGGGGCGCATGGGGGTCGGAGAATCTCAGAGGCTAATCAACAGGTGTGTCTGGTTAAAAAAGAAGTTTTTTTTAAAATCCACACTAAGCAATATGATTTGTTTTTTAAGTTTGTTTTGGGAAGTGTCAAATATTCAAATTATTAATTAATTTTTTTTTGGTTGCATGTTTTTATAAATCAATTTGATAATTGAATCAGGAATTTAAAGGAAAAAATATTTGATCTAAAATAAAAAAAAATAAAAATTATTTATGTAACATAAGATTATATACATGTATTAATACTCTATCTTATAAATTTTATTAAAGTCAGGTTGTTAAAAATAGCAAAGTAAAATATTTTTATTAAAACAAATTTGTAAGTTGACGTTAAAAAAAAAACAAAACAAAAACAAACAAACAAACAAACACACAAAAAACGGACCCCAATGCATTGATCTAAAATAGACACTAGAGCAGTGGTTCTTAACCTGGGTTCGATCGAACCCCAGGGGTTCGGCGAGTCAGTCTCAGGGGTTCGAAGGAGGTAATAAAAAAATCCTATTTGATTTTTTTCTATGAAGAAGGGTTCGGTGAATGCGCATATGAAAGTGGTGGGGTTCGGTACCTCCAAAAAGTTTCAGAACCACTGCACTAGAGATTTTAAAATATTTAATTAATTCAACATATTTGATATTTATTTGTGTAAACATGCATCCCGGGGCTATTTATCATTTGAAAAAAAAGCAAACAAACAGACACACAAACAAACACATAGATCTAGTTTGAATGCCACGCCAAATGCCCCAATAAGCGAAAGGCTATTTCAACATTAGACCACAACGACTATTAAATATTAATAAACCCGTTGGTCAATTAAGTAAGATGCCCATAAAAGAGGGGTGGGGTGGGGGTGGCTGGGGAGAGACTGCATAGTCTGCTAACCATTAAAAATTATTAAAAAACTATTCGTGTTGAAATCCTTCCTAAAAAAAACACCAGTTTATAAATAGCTACAAGCGCTTCAGTTCCGGTTTACCACGACTTGGCACTATAAAACCTAGCGAAGTGCGATACATTAGCAACTGAAGATTTATCCATCTGCGCTGTAGAAGTAGATGATCACAAAGAAAGACTTTACAAAACTATACGTATCATATTTAAGGCGCATATCTGGCATAAATAATTAGGATTTTTCAATACATTAAAAAAAAAAATTAAGTTGATAATTTCCACTGCTTTCGTTTTTTTCTTCAAATATTAGCAACACATTTACAAAGGAGATTTTGAAGAAAACACACGTTCACACACACACATATATATATATATATATATATTTACGAGCAAACATGAAATTTTTCGCGAAGGTAACTATTCTCTTTAGTATTATCGCCAACGCCTTATGTGCTCCCATCGCCGAATTCGCACAAAGTCAGCCAGACGTCAGCCCAAGGGAAATTACTGCCAAGGTTTCGAAATCGCCGAGTGATCACCCATTCCTGAGGCACAAGCGCAACGTCAACTGCTCCTTTCCTGATTATCTGCCCCAGCTGGTCCAAGAGTTGAACACATTTCTCCCGAATGCGTCTGTGTTTATTGGGCTCCCCCAGCAACAAGCCCCAGCCACTATCCCAGCCAATCAGCCTAAACTAGGCGATTGTCCGCGTCCTACTGGATCGTGGTGGCCAGGAGACATTGAGGGTTTGAAGTCTACCTGCCCATGGGTATACGGCAAGATTGATCTAGGCGACATGTTTTATCCGAGGTACGTTAAAATGAGAATTTATAAGCATTTATTTTGTTCTATATTTATTTTTATTTTGGGGGGGGGGTCTCCATACAAACAAGTGAGTATAGAAAACGATGATGGAATGATAATACTATAATAATAATATGAGTTCATAAGTTCATAAATGAAAGTATATTTTGTCATAATTTCCTTCTTATCCGCAGTTCTATTCTGAGCGTCGAGTGCCTTTGTGAAACCTGTATTCATTCCAACTCGTTGAGTTGTAACAAGCTGAGGACCGAAGTCACCGTCTTCAAGATAGATGCATGCCCGGGAGGTCTAGCAGTGATGACGGCCGTCAAGATGCACGTCACAACCGCCTGCTTCTGCGCCGGCGCTAGCAAATCTACAGCAACTACCCCTGCCCCAACCGAGTAAAAGGGTGGACCGCTGGTTCTGCCTCGGGGGAAGCCAGGAGTTTGACCCGAGAAGTGTGAGGAATCATTAAAATGGTGGAGCGACTCGTCCAAGTTAATTGAGAAAGTTATACAGGCCCGTGAAATATCGTGAGATTTTTTTAAAATAAGTGGTTCAAACGAAAATGCTCCGTGTTTAAAGTTGCCTTGATTTTTCTGAGCTTCTATAATTTTATTTGTGGAGCCCATTGTAAAGAGTTTTTTTTTTAGGTAGCTCCATTGTGTTATGGTGAAGGATTAGAATTATTATTTTAAATTTGATGCGTAAATCACCAAGATCACAAGCTTCCAATGTTAAAGTATAATAAGCCTCTTGATTTACCTATTACCCAGACAGTACGCTGTTCGCTGTACGTCTTACTGATCTTGATTGCGCTTGTCTGTATTAATAGTATTAGATTCCCCCCCCCCATTATAAAGTGCCGTGAACTGATTTCTGTTTTTATTGAGCGTCATGCTAGAAGTTGCTCTATTACAATTTGCGTCAATGCTATGAGTCACTGAGAAGAACTAAGCTTTTTCTTTTAAAAAATCGCTCAAAACTGTAAGTAGTTTAAAATTGATATTTTTTTTCTCCACTTATATCATGATAATTTTAATATAAATACCATCATAATAAAGTTAATATATGTACACAATCATGATATTCTTCATACATATATACCAGCGTGATAATGATATATTTTACATTCAAGTCCTACATTTTTTACAGGTTAAATGCTATGATAAATATTATATGTGATTATGTAAATATATATAATATATATATATATATATAAATTAAGTTTGATTTTTTTTTCTATTTTTTATGTATATCAGAATTCCATTTATTTCAAGTAACTTTACATTTGACTTATTTCACTATGTTAAAAGAGAGTGTGAAAGTGGAAGTGTGAACTCCGTTTTGAGCTCCCCATTGTTACAGATTCCTTAAAGTGTAAGCTCATTGCTCATATGTTTCAATCTTAATCATCGAAACTTCATAAAAGCGGAATGGGTTATTCAGTTAAAATGTATCGGTGCATTTAATTAGAGGTCAAAATACAATTAGAGCCCAGTGATAGGAAACATGCGGTTTCCTGCTAGAATTAAACGTATACTTGATGGCCCTGCCTATATCACTATTTGATAGGACCCCTGTGTGTTCCTGCTAGAATTAAACGTAAACTTGATGGCCCTGCCTATATCACTATTTGATAGGACCCCTGTGTGTTCCTGCTAGAATTAAACGTATACTTGATTGCCCTGCCTATATCACTATTTGATAGGACCCCTGTGTGTTCCTGCTAGAATAAAAAAACAAACGTTTATAAAGCTCTATCTATAAATCTTCCCGAGAGAGTCTGGCGTCATTTATTATATAGCAAACTTGTTACATCAAAAAATCATTCTCAATTGTTGGAAAAGTTGTCAGTTTTGTTACAAAAATGTAAACAGTGCATTAAATGACCAAGTTTTTGTTCAAAATGAGTATATGCTATTTTATATATTAAGTTGAAACATTTAATATTTATTTTTACAAAATGAACAATCCATCCATTCATCAAGTATTTATTTGTAACATAATGGATGCAACGGATATCCAGTAGTATTCTTACTCTGTGCAAGTTATGTCTTGTTATCCAGACATGGTAGGTTAAGCCAAAGAAGTTGCCTTAGAAAAGATAAGTGGGCTACTTATCGCCATTAACTTAACTATTATAACATCAACTAAACTGAAAGACATCTTCGTTCATTTCAATTAAAATGTAAAAAAAAACGAGTTCCGGTGCAAATGTCCAAGATATGTCCACGTCCAACATATGTCTATGTCAGACATATGCCAATGTAATATTGTGTTCGCGTCAAGATAGTTCATCAAAAAAAAAAATCAATTTGTTCCAAAATAGCATTCAAAATTATTTAATAGCAAAGAGCGCCCTAGAATATTGGCCATTGGCCAAATACTGGTCTGTATGAAACGTAGAAAAAGTTGTGTAGCTCACTAATTAGAAATATTCTACTGATATGGAGTTAAAAGAGAAAAAAAAAACATGCTTTGTGGTTTTATCTCGATCCCAACTATTGTGTTAAATAGCTTTATAGCTCGTACATTTACATAAAGTTATGAATTTCAAAACACGTTTTATTTTAATTTTATTTATTATTTTTAAATAAAGAAACAAAATGTTATGTAACTTTACGAGTGGAGTAAAAGATTGAATGAAAATAACACATGTTACTATTTATTTATCATGTAGTATATATTATGAAGATTATTATTTTTTTTTTCATAATAATTTTATTTGTAGACGGATTACTGTCTGGTTTGAAATGTTGTTAATTATTATGATTGTTATTCTGATTATAATGATTATGTGATTGTGACGCTTTTACAAAAAGTATTTATTATATTAAAATCAAAGAGAAATTGTTTTTTCCCCCTTATATTTTTTTAAAAAAATTTTCTAACCAAACTGTTAAATGCGTTCGATGGTGGCCACTGACTGTGTCAGTCTTTCTGTGTGTTTCACTGTGTCAGTCTGTCTGTGTGTTTCACTGTGTCATTCTGCCTGTGTGTTTCACTGTGTCAGTCTGTCTGTATGTTACACTGTGTCAGTCTGTTTGTATGTTTCAATTTGTCAGTCTGTCTGTGTGTTTCACTGTGTCAGTCAGTGTGTTTCACTGTGTCAGTCTGTCTGTATGTTACACTGTGTCAGTCTGTGTGTTTCACTGTGTCAGTCTGTCTGTGTGTTTCACTGTGTCAGTCTATCTGTGTGTTTCACTGTGTCAGTCTGTGTGTTTCAATGTGTCAGTCTGTCTGTATGTTACACTGTGTCAGTATTTCTGTGTGTTTCACTGTGTCAGTCTGTCCGTATGTAACACTGTCTCATTCGGTCGTGTGTTTCACTGTGTCAGTCTGTCTGTGTGTTTCACTGTGTCATGCTGTCTGTGTGCTTCACTGTGTCAGTCTGTCTGTATGTTTCACTGTGTCAGTCTGTCTGTGTGTTTCAATGTGTGAATCTGTCTTTTTATGTTTCACTGTGTCAATCTGTCTGTGTGTTTCACTGTGTCAGTCTGTCTGTGTGCTTCACTGTGTCAGCCTGTCTGTGTGGTTCACTGTGTAAGTCTGTCTGTGTGCTTCACTGTGTCAGCCTGTCTGTGTGTTTCACTGTGTCAGCCTGTCTGTATGTTTCACTGTGTATGTCTGTCTTTATGAATCCGAAGCCGAAACCAAAAGCTTAACGAGACTTCGGCCGAAACCGAAGCACAAACTGCACTATTTAAAATTTTTGAAATTTGTTCACGCATACATTCTGCATAAATCAAAAATAGATGGGTGAAAGTATCAATATTCACGCACTCTTGTTATAAAATAAGAGATCACGGAGAATCTGAATGACTAATTGAATTATTTTGCTTTTACCGATTTAATGTAAAGTAATTTAAATTTCTTTAAAATGTATTGTGAGTAGTATGGTAAGAGAACATTTGGACAGGGATGTGGGGAAAATTCATTCAAGATAGACCCTTAGGTGCCCTTTGCTTTTATAGTATAATTACAAGGCTACGTAGACATATAAATACACTAATTATTGTGGCTCTAATAGAGCCAATTGTCACCAAAATATCAGTTAGTAAGGCTATAACAATATCACCAAACTGTTTTGCGCCTATCGTAACTCTAATGCTTTGTGTTTTCATAAATAGCTGGCAGATATCGCTTTATTAATATTTAGCCTAGTAACAACACAGTAGTCTTTTAGTGCTTGTGACGAAATTTTTTCGTTCGGCAACCAAACTCCCTCACCTTCAATGGCGGGGGAAAAATATTTTTTGAACCTGGTCAAAGACATCTAAATTGGTCGCCGAAACCGAACCTAGGCCGAAAGTGATCAAATGGCAACTTTCGGCGACGAAACCACAGCCGAAATTAAGTCGGTCTCTCATCGATATTTGACACCATGCGTGTCTTTCTGTATGTATATCTGTGAATCTGCAATTTTTGTCCGTAAAGATCTCTGTGCTTTTTACTTGTTCTACTAGCGTATTTTTTTAAAGCAGAAATGTGCACAAAAGAAGTGAAATCAAATCTCTTTTCTACTATAGATCGAAAGAAAGAATTCACATATAATTTACTCTGTTAAATCAATCCTTTCATACACATTAATTTGAATCATGGCATGTCACTGTTGCTGTGCAAGATAAGTACACACTTGCTTTCGTGGATACCCAAAATAGTCTCAGAACAAGCGAGCCATTATTGAAAGGCCAAACAAAGACTTGAAACAACTGCACACATTTCAGAATGAATACACACATACATATTATGTTTTACATATAAATTGATTATTACACAAATAAGTCAAAATTTAACTTCGAGATTACCCCGGCTGTTACAAAATCAAATAATTTATCTTAAGGTAGGGAGGCTTTATTTAAAAAGATTATGGCTGATTTTTAACAATTTTTTTTTTTTTTTTTTTTTTCGTGTGCCAAATACTTTTAATGTTATTCATTTAAACTTTTCCATTTTTACAATTCTTCTTTTAATCAGAATTTGCCGAAAAGTAATGTGTACAAGGAA